AATTTAGGACCATGGTTGTGTAATGTTTTTCATTGTAAACAGTACATTTATCAGTCACCAAAGGGAAATTGGTCTCCATGAGATGGAAATAATGAAACTCTGACCTCTTCCTCTTAGGAAATGCCACCAGGACCAATGAGGTAATGGCTGTAGTTCGCTCCTGGGGAAAACTACTAAAGGACCCAGGACGAAGCCAGTTCTCTTCTCAAGGTTATATTTGATTCAGGCATTGGGCCTTCTGTAGATGTCATCCAAATAATCGAAAAGGAAAAATTTCAAGCATTTCACCACTTCTGAAATATTTTTTCCTTGCTTAGTTATCCATGTTTTAAACTGTCAGGGGAGTGTCTCTCTGTTTTTCCTGTTCTGTCCTTGGCCTCGAATTCTTCTAAGGCCTGGTTCATCTCAGGTTGAAATGTCAACTTCCAGCTTTTAGGGCTGATTTTTTTTTTTTTTTTTTTTGCGGTATGCGGGCCTCTCACTGTTGTGGCCTCTTCCGCTGCGGAGCACAGGCTCCGGACGCTCAGGCTCAGCGGCCATGGCTCACGGGCCCAGCCGCTCCGCGGCATGTGGGATCTTCCCGAACCAGGGCACGAACCCGTGTCCCCTGCATCGGCAGGCGGACTCTCAACCACTGCACCACCAGGGAAGCCCAGGGCTGATCTTGTAAATGAGTTGGTTTCTTTCTTTTGCTTCTTAATTCTGAAAACTCTGTTTCTCATTTTAATTAATAGATTGCTGGAGAGGGCTTCTGCATTTTCCCAATATGGGCACAAAAATGATAATCCATCAGTTTTTCTGCAGGCAGTGGTCTCTGTTTTTTTTCTTTTTTTTTTTTCTTTTTTTGCTGTACATGGGCCTCTCACTGTTGTGGCCTCTCCCATTGCGGAGCACAGGCTCTGGACGCACAGGCTCAGCGGCCATTGCTTACGGGCCCAGCTGCTCCGCAGCATGTGGGATCTTCCCGGACCGGGGCACGAACCCGTGTCCCCTGCATCGGCAGGCAGACTCTCAACCACTGCGCCACCAGGGAAGCCCGTAAGTTTTTTGTTTCTGTTTTGTTTTGTTTTTTCTTTGTTGTCATTTATCACAGATATACTTTTAAAAATTGTCTAATAGAATGATTAAAACAGTAAGGACAAAAGGACTACTTTGTAGTCTGTGGATTTTGCATCCTTGCACTAACTTCATGAAAACAGTATCGCCTAACACTGTGCGAAAACTCCTTGCTTAGTCCCAATTCTGAAAGATTCATGTTTGATTTTGGCTGTCTTGGGTGTCTGATTAATTGAGAGTGAGTGGAATTCTGGAGAATAAGCAAGGAAGAGACAAAACTGAGAACAGGAGTAAGAGCCCAGCTGCATAGAAATCGCTCCTAAATTGAAATAAGTACAAGGAAAAGTCCAGGACTGAAGCCCCAGGCTGGTGTCCCCGACTCTCCCGATGAGTGTGTTTAGCCATCAGGGGTCCTGAGAACCCTTGATACAGCGTTGACATGTGTGTCCTTTAGAAAAGTATTTCACGAGTCTTTATGCCAGATAAGTGCTTCCCCAGGAGCCCAGGCCCGTTAACTCAAAGTAGAGCCATTTGTGTGAGGGATCACTTCAGCCCAGCTGTTCCTGCACAGCTGCAGACTGATGTCACCACCTGGGGCCGGGCCTGCCTTGGGACTGTTGTCCTAACAGCAGTAACCACCGCTTCCCCGTCCGACCCATTTTTTTTCCCTGTACCCTTCCTTCCCTCCTGTCCTCCCTTTACCTCTCTGCACAGTGGCCAACAAAATCAAACACTAGTTAAGCTTCTTAAAAAAAAAAAAAAAAAAAAAAAAAAAAAAAAGAAGGAACCCCCCTGTCCGGCCGCCAGTGTGAGAGGACTTCCATCTATCCTTTTTGATTTTAGAGTTATACAGTTACACATTCAGACTGACAGTCTTTGATTACAAGCAGATGTGTTGAAATCCGGCAGGTGTAGCATACTGCTAACTTCTACACAGAAGCTCTTCTAAGTTTTTGGTTCACTTAGACATTTTATCTCAGATATGAGCATTCAGATGAGCTAGAATTTTTTGTTGGTTTTGTTTTTTATTTTGCTGTTATCTGAAATCCTGAGGGAATTAAGTCAGAAGGCTGTGTGAAATCAAGATTTCTCTGACTAGAAAAGCTATTTTGATGCCTTTATTGACTGCTCGCAAATAGTTTTCTACTGCCTTCTTTCATATAGAGCTGTAACATGGAATTCACACAAGGAGGCTTGTGGCCCTATCATTTTATTTGTATTATTTTGGAAAGTCAGTGGAAGCGAATACGTTTACTTCTTTGGCTAACGTTTGCCTTCGAGAATCACTTTTTCCTCCTTTGATAAATAAGTAGTGACATGAGGAGCGTATTCTGTACCAATCGGCACGGCCATCATCTTTTAATAAATTCTTTTAAGGAAAAAAATCACTTCCCAAACAGGGTCCCAAAGGCCTGAGTTGTTGGTGCTGTCGATGATCTCTATAATCTGGCCTACATCTGCCTTGTTGAGCCTTCTCTCCAACTTTTCTGCCTTGGGAATGTTCTAGTTCCCAAGGTGCACTGTGCAGGCTCCCCATTGCTCAACGTGGAATACAGTTTTTACCCTCGATATCAGGGTAGTAGTTCTTGCTTTGTTTTTGCCTTTACTGTTAGTCCAGTAAACATTTGTGGGTTTATTTGAATGTTAAGTGTTCTCTTTAGCAGACACTATGCTTGTCATTATTTCACTATGACTTATTTTACTTCTGAAGGAATACTGATACGGGACAAGTATGGGCTGGTATTTCTACTGCCATGTGGCATATTCCCAAGAACACAAGTCTACATCATTGCCCGAAACTCATCCCGGGAGCCAGCCAGGTTCCCGCTACTTAGGTCAGAATAAGCATTGATCGAAACTATCCTCTCCTCCTCCCTCAAACAACCTTTTTCCTTCCACTGCTCCACAAATACATATTCCTTACCAAGAGGCAGAAGGATTACTTTACAATAAACAGACTTACCGGTGCCCATTTCGCGTGAATCCATGGGCACTCTGGGGTGTCGAGAACATGCATCCTCCTTACAGAGTAGCCTTTCCCCCATATCTAACATCAGTACAGGAAGGCTGCAAAGTCAGTCTTCCCAAGAACTGATAGAGCTCTTTCAGGATTTTTTAAAAATTTTTATTGGCATATAGTTGATTTACAATGTTGTGTTAGTTTCCGGTGTACAGCAAAGTGAATCAGTTATATATATATACATATATCCACTCTTTTTTAGATTCTTTTCCCATGTAGGCTATTCCAGAGTATTGAGTAGAGTCCCCTGTGCTATACAGCAGGTTCTTACTAGTTACCTATTTTATATATAATAGTGTGTATATGTCAGTCCCAATCTCCCAATTTATCCCTCCCCCACCATCCCCTGATAACCATAGATTTGTTTTCTACGTCTGTGACTCTACTTCTATTTTGTAAGTTCATTTGTACCCATTTTTTTTACATTCCACATATAAGCGATATCATATGATATTTATCTTTCTGTGTCTGACTTACTTCATTCAGTATGACAATCTCTAGGTCCATCCATGTTGCTGCAGATGGCATTATGCCATCCTTTTTTATTGCTGAGTAATATTCCATTGTATATATGTACCACATCTTCTTTATCCATTCATCTGTCGATGGACACTTAGGTTGCTTCCATGTCTTGGCTATTGTAAATAGTGCTGCAGTGAACATTGGGGTGCATGTATCTTTTTGAATGGTGGTTTTCTCCAGGTATATGCCCAGGAGTGGGATTACTGGGTCATATCGTAGTTCTATATTTAGGTTTTTTCTCAGTTTATTTATTTATTTTATTTTTGGCTGCCTTGAGTCTTTGTTGCTGCGCACGGGCTTTCTTTAGTTGCTGTGAGTGGGTGCTACTCTTTGTTGCGCTGCACGTACTTCTCATTGCAGTGGCTTCTCTTGTTGCAGAGCCTGGGCTCTAGGCACATGGGCTTCAGTAGTTGCAGCACACAGGCTCAGTAGTTGTGGTGCACAGGCTTAGTTGCTCCAAGGCATGCGGGATCTTCCCGGACCAGGGCTCAAACCCGTGTCCCCTGCATTGGCAGGCAGATTCTTAACCACTGCGCCACCAGGGAAGTCCCCTTCCGCCCATTTTTTGATTGGGTTATTTGGGTACTTTTGATATTGAGCTGCATGAGCTGTTTGTATATTTTAGAGATTAATCCCTTGTCGGTTGCTTCATTTGCATATATATTCTCCCATTTCTTTCAGGATTTATTATAGTCTGTGTGGGTATGTGTTTATGTGCAAGTTCTGCAAGGTATTGTTAGTACTTCTGTTTTTGGTAGTGGTAGCGAAGAGTTAGGATGCTCTGATTTTATGTTTATCAAATTGCCTTTTAAAAATGTTAACCTTGCAATGTATTTACATTGTATTGTCGCTTCTCAATGTATTTTTCCTAAAGTTTTTATGTTCTGGTGATTTGTGTTCAATATATTCTAGTATTTTGTTTTTATTACTGTATTTTTGAAGTAACCAGTTTAAATTGGCTCCACCTGCATACAAGCTTAAAGTCTATTTATTGCTTCTCTCTGGTCTTACCTGCTCCTTCTACATCTCGGCTGCCTCCTCTAGTGGCTGGCCCGCCTTAGAGATGCCTTGGCCAATCAGAGCCTCCTCTCATTACAGCCCCTGCACTGATTGGTCACCATGTGAAAGGGTGCTCTTCACTTGGGAACCTGGCTCTGCTCAAGGACTTCTCTTACTGCTTGATAGACAGTTGGCTTTTTGCTGCCAGAGACCATTTCCTCTCCTTCCCTTTTATCGTTCATTTGTACACTATTATGTTTGAAAATCTGGTCCTGAGAGAATCGCGTACACTGAGAGCCCTGTGTTTATGCTTCCAGAGTCATCACGTCTGTGAATGTTATGAATTTAGGACATTTAGCAGGTTAAGTGTCATTTTCCCTTTTCTTTTTCCATCTCTTTTCAGTCACTGCTTCAACCACCTGTGAGAAGTTAGAAAAAGCCAGGAATGAGTTGCAAATAGCTTATGAAGGATTTGTCCAGAAGCTAAACCAGCAGCACCAGACTGATCTAACAGAGCTGGAGAATCGGCTTAAAGAATTTTACACCGGGGAGTGTGAAAAGCTTCAGAATATCTACATCGAAGAAGCAGAGAAGTACAAAACTCAGTTACAGGAGCAGGTCTGTGCTTTTAGAACCTGAGCATGTGCTTGGCCTTGGCTATTAATTTGAATTCTAACTGTTGTCTGATGATGACCTTGCTTTGATGACCTTCTCTTTGTTGGACATCCCTTGATGAACTTCTTTAAATTTTAAATAAATGAAAAGTTTTTTAAATTAAATTTTTTATGATCAAAGCAATGTACATATGTTGAGCGAAAGATCAGAAGAAAAAAAGATAAAACTTAAAACAACGCTTTAAAAAATTATTTTAATTGAAATATAGCCGTACAAGATTATATGTTACAGGTGTACAGTATAGTGATTCACAATTTTTAAAGATCATAACTCTATTTATAGTTATTATAAAATATCGGCTGTGCTCCCCATGTTGTACAGTATCCTTCTAGTTTGTTTTATACCTAATAGTTTGTACCTCTTACTCCTCTACCCCTATCTTTCCCCTCCCCCTTCCCTCTCCACACTGGTAACCACTAGTTGGTTCTCTATATCTGTGAGTCTGCTTCTTTTTTGTTATGTTCACTAGTTTGTTGTATTTTTTAGATTCCACGTATAAGTGATATCATACAGTGTTTGTCTTTCTCTGTCTTATTTCACTTAGCATAATGGCTCTCCATTTTGCTGCAAATGGAAAATGTCATTCTTTTTTATGGTTGAGTAGTGGTCCATACACACACACACACACACACACACACACACACACACACACACAAATACCAATATATGTGTGTGTGTATGTGTATATATATATATATAGTGTATCACATTTTCTTTATCCATTCATCTGTTGATGGACATTTAGGTTGTTCCCATATGTTGACAATTATAAATAATGCTATGAACATTGGGGTGCATGTATCTTTTCAAATTAGCGTTTTTGTTTCTTTTTGGGTGTATTTTAAAAAATGAAATAAAACATCCCTTTATCCTACTCCCTAGAAATAATCCCTTTGCAAACATTCTGGTGCTGCTAAAACATCGGCCTGCATTTCTTCTTCTTTTTTAAAATGGCTCTTGTTTAATAACTCGTATTTTTCCCTTAATGGTATATCCTAAACCTCTCTTTAATTTCCTTGTTCCCATTTAAAATCAGTTTTTCATTTAGCTGATATTTACACAGTGCCAACTATATGCCAGGCATGTGCTAGGGGCCGAGAATATAGAGGTGTAGGTGTAGAGCAATATGGCAGGTGTAGAGCTTATATGGTCCTGTCACCATGGAAGCTATCCTCGTTGCATATGGTGGACTCAGCCCTTTCCATCCATGAACCCTGGAGAGCTACGTGTTGTGTTCCTGAGGCACGGTGGACTGGAGCATAGGGACTGGCAAACCCCAGTTGGGTTGTTCTTTACATGTGTCTGGTAGGCCTTAGACTTGAATGCAAGCTCATGTGTCAGATTTCCTAATGCTGCTGCTTATTATTCACCTTAGGACTTTTTATTGGTAAACTATTGTTTTGTTTTGGTTTTTTTCTTATAGTTTGACAACTTAAGTGCTGCCCATGAAACCTCAAAGTTGGAAATTGAAGCAAGCCACTCAGAGAAAATAGACTTGCTAAAGAAGGCCTATGAAACCTCCCTTTCAGGCAAGAATGCTTTTTTCTATTGAAATAGAATAAGAGCTAGTGGAACAGCGTGATATGTTTTAAAACGGAAATGATTCATAACTTCCCCCCCCTAGAGAATACCCTGTGGTATTCCGTTTGGAGTGTTTTTTGGTTTCTTTTTGCATTGTTCATTGTGAGGAGATCCCCTTTCCCCTAAGGATGCAAATAATAGTTTGTTATAAATGCCAGCCTTTTAGGAAATATAGTTTTGGGTTTTTTTTAATTTATTTTTTGGCTTTGTTGGGTCTTCATTGCTGCTGGGCTTTCTCTAGTTGCGGCGAGCAGGGGCTACTCTTTGTTGCAGTGTGCGGGCTTTTCACTGCGGTGGCCTCTCTTGTTGCGGAGCACGGGCTCTAGGTGCATGGGCTCAGCAGTTGTGGCACGCAGGCCCAGTAGTTGTGGCTCACAGGCTGTAGGGCACAGGCTCAGTAGTTGTGGCGCACGGGCTCAGTTGCTCTGTAGCATGTGGGATCTTCCCGGACCAGGGCTTGAACCCGTGTCCCCTGCATTGGCAGGCAGATTCTTAACCATTGCGCCATCAGGGAAGTCCCCCTTTTAGGAAATAGAATGAACTTTTAAGGAACTTTAAGGCCCTTTTGGTAATAGTTGTGCTTGACCACTCCAGATCCTGGGAAGTTGAAAGTGTCAGTTTATATCCTGACCATGGTGAAGGATTCATGCCAGGCACTTCTGCATACCTGTGAAATGTAGATGGCATTTGCTGAATAAAAAGATGTGTTTTATTATTTCATCATGATTGGAAGGGTTGAAATAAAAGGAAAAGAATAAGAAGCCATTTTTTACAGAAGATAAGTGCCCATGTAGCTGAAGTTGTTACACCGAACCCATTGCATCTACAGAGAAACATATGGACACGTGGTGAGAACTCACCCTGTGAACTTTGTCAAGGGCCTTCTCATCAGAAAAACAGACTTGTTGTGCGAGGTCAGAGATGAGAACATGTAAAAGTGACTGGCCCAGGGTAGATGTTGGGTAAACATTGTTTTTCTACCTTCCTGCTGGAGATGGGTTTAATTTGAGATTTCTGTTTGGTTCGTGAAGGGCAACTGGAACAGAGCACAGGGCCTCCTGACCAGGAGTCTGAAGGCCAGTGTTTGACCGCCCCCATCCCCATTGCCCCCAGGCGTGCTCTTTGTTCCCTGAGGTCTTTTGGCCTCTCTGGGCCTCTATGTTCTCATTCATAAAATGGGAATTATCTGCCCTACTCACCTCATGGGCTAATTTGAGAACAAGTTGTTTAATTTCTACAAAAGTGCCATACAAACATAAAGTAATGTAGGCGCAGCGCCTCATAATCAACTGTTGCATCCATGTGCTATAATGACTGTAGAATACAGTGATCTCGTAGGATGTTATTGACTCAAAAAAATATCACTTTCAGAGATCAAGAAAAGCCATGAAATGGAAAAGAAATCACTTGAGGATTTGCTTTATGAGAAGCAGGAATCACTAGAGGTAGGTAAATCTCAATCACCACCACCCCTCCTGCCCACCTTCCCGTCATCATTCTTGACGCTTGTATGGTTTGGGTACGTTTCTGTGCACATTTGCAATGTTTCTGGTGCCCACTTGTTTACTTACGTTCCACATTTCACTGTTTGTGTTTTAGAAACAAATCAATGGTTTGAAGAGTGAAAATGACACTTTAAATGAAAAGTTGAAATCAGAAGAACAAAAAAGAATATCAAGAGAGAAAGCAAATTTAGTAAGTTGCGTATATGGTCCCCCATCACTAATGAATTTTTCTTCTGCTCAGCTGTCTTTTAGAGTCAGTTAAGTGTTCAGCAGCTAGAGAAATAGTATGGGTTTGGAATCTTTTTCATATCTTGCAGTATGATTTTTAAACTGTATAAAGTGGCTGCTTTGGTTACTGGTGTCTTTAATTCTAAAAACTGACATAACAGCTGAAATCCAATATATTGCAAGTGATCTAAGCTAATACCTATAGGAAGACAGGAAAACTATCAATTAGGGTCAGGGTTTTATGTAAAGACTTCATTTTTTAATTAACTTGCTATATTGAGATATAATTTACATACCACGATATTCACCCTTCTAAAATATACAGTTCAGCGGTTCACAAGTTATACCTTGGTCACCAGGATCTAATTACAGAACACTTTTATCACCCCCCCCCCCCCCAAC